GGTTTTCCTACAGTATTTAAAAAATCGCGTCCGGAAAAAATCACTGACTAACAATAAGAACCAAGAACAAAGACAGAGACAGAGACAAGACATTACAATACAATGGACCGGCAACAAAGGGAGAGGAGCACAGGTACACATAGATATAGGCGGGGCAGACAATCAACACGGGAACAGGACAGGAAGTAAAACTGAAATGAAACCACAGAGAGCTTAAAAAAAAACAAATACAAAAAAAAATCCACTCCATGACACTTTCGAATGTTTGGCCTTGAATTGTATGTGTTAATATTTCGCTCCCAGGTTTGTACGCAGCAGTGCAGGGAGCTCACCTTTCAAATGGAAGAGTCCAGGTTGGGGCAGAGGGAGCAGATGTTGCATTGGCCGGTTCGCGCTGATCCCAGATGATTGGCCGTAATTATAGGCTGTAAGCTGATAGTGGGGGAATAGGCGGCCCATTGAGATGTCAGTCCTCCCCGTGTTTATGAGTGCATTCATACGCTGTCCTGGCCACAGCCTAAACAGCCCAGGGATGATGGAGGGAAGGTTTTAGGGAGAGGAGGTTTTAGTGGGAACACCTGGAGAAGTGAAACAGTATGGGCGCTGTAGGGGGGGATGTGGTTCGGGACAATGGCAAAGCCGGCCTGTCAACTGCATTGTGTAAAAAAAAATGGGTGGTGTAAGTGCGTACATGGTCGACAAAGCGCACCACTCCTTGAAGCTGAAATATGAAGTTGTTATTGAGTTTCATGAATAGTCACCAGCTTCTTTTACATTCTGTGTGAATTGAAATGCGTATTGCTCTCTATAGGATATCAATGTGTGAATGTTTAACTGTTATGAGCAATAAAAAGCATTGATACTGGCTGAGTTGACCAGCGAGAACCTCAGAGAACATATCCGAGTTCTGACCATTGGTTCTTGGACAAATATACGGCGAATGTATGAACTTCTCCAGAGCTGCTGTGAAGTTCATTTTCACCGTGTGTGCGTGGTGTATAATAAACAAAAATATATGAAATTGATGAGACTACATAGGCTGTCACAGTTTGAAGTCAGAGGTATGTTCTTTTCGGAGTAAATTTTGGCTGTTATGAAATATTTTTGCCAATAGACCACGCAGGTTTGGCAGGTTGATGTCACAACAAACAAGTGACAAATTGTTTTTGTGCTCTTATTTTAAATAAAGGACGACATACCACAGTTGGTATATTTCAGACTTTACAGGATTGATTTCAAAACGTATCAGCCTTTAACTCCATAATACATGTTGTTGTTGGGATTAGAAAAAAATACTCGTAAGAAAGAGCCCTGTGCGTCACTATTTGACGCTTTCGGTAAATTGGCGACAAATAGTGAGTCCTCTCTTTTTGGCTTTTCTGTCAAAGAAACTTGTGATGGAACCAAATTGAACCAAAAAACTTTTTTATTGGTTTGAAAGTGAGTTACCCCATCTTTAATTTGGAGCCAAGCAATATCTATGCACTATATTATTCAGTGTGTCTTTTTCATCAATGATCTGCCTTGTTTTGCTTCCTCGATCAAACCCTAGGAAAATAACGGTCACCAGACACCTCTGTAACTCTAACAGATGCAATGACACAGGGAGTTGACTTGGGAGGAGTCCAGCGGCAGCACGGTCACAGGAGGCAGGGGAGGCTCCTAATTGTCTAGTGCAGCATGTAATGACAAGCTTAGTCCGCATCAATCTTTCATTATTAAGAGCTATTTCAGTCGTGATGCAGCAGCAGGCACAGTCAGGCGCATCCCGGGACCATTAGACCGGAGCCACGGATCTGTCTGTTTACGGGACAGGAGGGAATGTTGGTGAGTTAACCAGGAATGGTGTCCGCTTCAGTGACCGCAAAAAATCCACCGGGTTATGGCAAATGTCAAAGTCAGTGTCAACTTTATCTGTATAGTGCATTTACAACACCAGCTCCTCAAAGTGCTTCACGCGCATAAAAGAAAGGAGAAAAATATACACACAAAAATGTATGTAAAATGTAAAACTGTAGAACTCAGTTGGTGTTAAAAGCCAAGGTGTACAGATGGAACTAAATTCAAAAACCTACAAATGAGGGAGCCGCTCTAATCTACAGAGGAACAAAAAAGGCTGGCCTTTTTGAGTTTTTGAGACCAGATCTGGACAAGTTCAATAAACTCTGGTTTTTGACCTCAATGTATACTGATACAAGCAGACAGAGATAACAGCTCTGTCAGAGAGCAGAAAGAAAGAGCAGAGAAAGAACAGAAAGAGAGAGAGAGGGAGAAACCAGAATAAGACCAGCGAGAGCCCAGATACCAGAACAAGACCATAAAGAGACCAGAGAGAGAAGAGGGGAGGGTGGGGTAGGGGAGTGAGAGCCAAAAGGGAGAGACCAGAGAGCCAAAATAAGACCAGAGAGAGAGAGAGAGACTAGATAGAGACCAGAGAGAGAGAGACCAGAGTAAGACCAGAGAGAGCCCAGAGAGAGAGACCATTGTAAGACCAGGGAGAGACTAGATAGAGACCAGAGAGAGAGAGAGAGAGCGGCCAGAAAGAGCCCAGAGGGAGAGACTAGATAGAGACCAGACAGAGAGAGAGGAGAGGGACAAGAGAGAGAGAGAGAGGAGAGAGAGAGACCAGAATAAGACCAGAGAGAGCCCAGAGGGAGAGACCAGAGAGGGACCACCATACAGAGATAACAGCAGCTCTGTCATGAGCTAAACCATTTAACATTGAGACTCTTCCATTCAATACATTCGGTATATAAAACATATTGATTAAATTCGATGTTGATTAAAGCTGGGGAACCTATATTTGGGCTTTCATTATTAACACAAGAGTCCTAAAAGTAAAAAAAAAATATGACAAAGCATTTTCTTTTTTACACTTTTCTTCAAACATTTGAGGTGTTACTTTCTCTGCTGTACAACGCGTTGTTTTGTGCTAACTCACCTCAACCATTCCTCACATGACTTGACTTCAATAATGTTGCATTTTTCTCCACACTCATATTTCAGCAGGGATCCTTTCTGCCGCATCAGCTTGCCAATACTGCCCCCTATCTGTGACGACAAAACTGCATCTTGTGATCCACATGTGCCACTTGCAGAATCCAATGTATTTCAATTCCTCAGCAAAGTGTAAACCTTTCCATGTTACTGTTACTGGGTTCTGTTAGTAACTTTTGGATTATTGGAGTTTTTTGTTGCATAATTTCTACTGAGGCAAGGAAAAAGTATGATTTATAGACAGACAGATGGATTATCAAAGTTTTTAACCTTTGTGTCGTTGTAAAACTTCCATATTCATAATTAGTTTATGGCGAGAAATTACTTACCAATCATTATAATTGAATTCAATGAACGTAATGAATATATAATGCTGTAGTAAAAGTATATTTTCCTGATACTAATACTTTTTTCCGTGGAGGGTCATGTTATCTTTGGTCCATCTAGTTTCTGCTGTTTTTCCTAGAATGTTCTACAGCATAGCAATACACTTTTCCATCTGTAAAAAAGAGCAGATAAGTCAGTGGCCAACCAACTTATAGTAAGATTTGTTTTTTGAGTAAGTAAAATGTATTATCAAAATATCATCATTGCCAACTTTACTTATATGGCACATTTACAACAACAAAACCAGCTGCCCATGCACAAAATAAAGAAAACGATAAGGCATACAAATGTGTCTTTAGGCCAGTTTCAATGACAGAATATTGTAAAAATTCTATACGATTACACATTTCTTGTCAAAATGTTGAGTTATTGAGTTGTTTTGGGGGAGGATCAACGTTCTAAGCACGGAGGTGATCCAGGACCTATGTAGACATCCTATTGGCCGAAGACTTTCTGTTTTTTTGCTATAATTTTTACATTTTTTTATCCTTCGAAACGACTGCTGTTGTGATTTTGGGCACATATATATCAAAACGTGTCTACAGTAAGAGTTTGTGCAAAAGACCTGCTGCCACCGTTCCCTCTGACTGAAAACGTACATGCCAGAACAGACTTTGCGCATGTGACGATTACCACTGTATCGACATTTAACTAAAATCTGCTCAGCTCCTCGCGGTCCTTCACTCGCGCTGATCCTCTTTGGAGCTATAAGAGAAATAAGCCTCAGTCTCTCCTCTGAAGTCCTCAGGAGATTAACCACTTTGAACTCAAGCAACTTTATTCAAACTTTTCAAGGCGCAAATGACACGCAACTTTAGCTAGAAAGACACAAGAGGCCTACGAAAGTCATTATGCAACATCGCGGATCCAGAGGTGTCGCTTTACTGGGAAAAAACTCAAAGTGATGTTGTTCAATCATGAATCAATTACATATCAAAAACAGCCAAAGTCGGTTTTTGAACAATTAACAAAGCATTCATCCGACACTCTTTTAATTAGATACAGTACATCAGCAATGGAAGGATTTAACTTGTATGTACATTTAAACATTGATTAGCGAGGCTTTTCAATCAAACACAAACTAAGCCACTTTTGAATGCCCATAATGCTTGGCGGCAGAAGCAATTTCGAGACTTGGAGAGTATTAGAAAGAAAGCCAGAGATTACAGTATTTCAATAAGGCTCTGACGTTTTTGAACTACATTTGTACGCAAAACAATTAAAACAAGAGTAGTGTAGAGTAGAACTACAGATAAAGCGGAAGAATATGGATGGATGGGTTTTTGGAAGTCTGAAATATGCATGTTTGAAACTAGGGATACAGTAGGTACCAGAGCGAGAAACTAGAACTGAGTTATATCACATGGTTATATTTTCCGGAATTTGAAAAGCATGAGTGGTTCATTTGTGAGAATATTTGAATACTGTCCTGTAGTTAAGACAATATTTACCACCACTGATATATTTAGTTCATAATTTACTTTTTATTTTGAAACAAATATGAATTTGGCTGTACTTTGTTGTGACAACGTTTACAATTATGTAGAGCAGGTGGAGAGCTACTGGTGGTGAGATACTGGTTGTGAGCTACTAGTGGTGAGCTATTGGTGGCGAGCTACTAGTGGTGAGCTGCTGGTGGCGAGCTACTGGTGGTGAGCTGCTGGTGGCGAGCTAATGGTGGCGAGCTGCTAGCGGTGAGCTACCGGTGGCGATCTGCTAGTGGCGATCTGCTAGTGGCAATCTGCTAGTGGCAATCTGCTAGTGGCGATCTGCTAGTGGCGATCTGCTAGTGACAATCTGCTAGTGGCGAGCTAATGTTGGCGAGCTGCTAGTGGTGAGCTGCTATTGGCGAGCTAATGGTGGCGAGCTGCTAGTGGCGAGCTAATGTTGGCGAGCTGCTAGTGGCGAGCTATTGGTGGCGAGCTAATGGTGGCGAGCTGCTAGTGGCGAGCTAATGGTGGCTTCCACACTAGAGGTTGGAGACCCCTGATGTAGAG